AGTCGGAAGCAGCATCGCGAGGGTCCACACCTTCGCGACGTAATTTGGCAGGCCTGGCGGCTCCCTCGAACAGTCTCAAATCAGAGGCGACTCTGCGTAGAGCCCCTGGCCAGGGCTGGTTTCCTTCTGTTGCGGGGGATGTGGAGGCTCAACCACCGAGGGAAGAGGACTTTCATCAGTGCCCTCGGCCGAAAGGTCCACACAGTGAAGGGTCACTCCATCCTCACGCGGGTGGAGGCCTCGAACGATGCGATTCTGGCTGTACCTCCTACGTATCATGCTGTGGTGGGCTAAAGAGAGAGGCCGGGGAGGGCAGCGATCCCGCAGTCCCCTCACCTGCCCTCCCGAATAATAGTACTTACACCTGGTGCAAACAACTACAAACGAGCCGTCCGAGCAATCGTACGCGGCCATTGTGTGCCCCAGGGTCCTCAACGAGTCGGCACTGAGCCCTCGGAGACCTGAGGGGCCTGGGCACTTGGAGGTTGGGGGCAACTTAGAGAGGGGGGCCCTCAAACAAACCGAGCGCTGCCAAACGTCGTGGATCCGACGCCAGTTGTGACATAAGCGGTCTGGCTGAGTCGACCCAACTGTAGGCCTGACCCAGGGCACTCCCGTCAAATCGAGATGAGGTCAGGAGGGGAGGAGCTTCGCGGCTAACTTCGCAACCACGCGCGACGTCAAAGTTTGCTGGTCCAGCTAACTTCTGCGGCGGAGGGTCCAGGGTGCTACGGCCCAGATTGGCCAACTGGTCGGCGTGGTGGTTACCAGGCCTTCGAAAACACACATATGCGGGCTGAGGAGTGGACGGCGACCTTCTCAACGTCTAACACGTGACGGACCTCTCCAGCGCGGGCCTGAAGCATGAACCCAGCGTGCACTCCTTTTGTGCGATAAGGGCCAACGGCAACGCTAGGCGCCAGTGGTTCACCACCGACTGACAGTCGGAGTAAATACTTGAAGGGCCACAAAGCATGTACAGCACAGCAGCGAAAATGCCGCATGCGCCTCCCTGGGGAGTCTGAAGCCATAGGGCCCACAGGGGCCCGTGGACCGTGGCCAGAATCTCGCCCCCAAGATCGAAGACGGCGGCCCCGAAACCAGCCCTAGACAACTCCCTGACCGGGTGGCGAAAACACGACCCGTCAACAGAAACATAGCCAGACAACGCGGTCCTGTCAATGCCTTCCCCTCCAGGGACCCGTAGACCCCCAGGGGCAAGACTCCGAAACGCAATCCCTTGGTCCGTCAGAGGTCGAGGAAATGAGCATCCAGGATGGTTGTAGATCCCCCCGGTGTGTACGAGGATGTCATCGTGCGATTCTGCCGCCAGGGCCGACCGGATGGGGCCGAGGCGCTTCCCCCGGAAGCTTTCGATCCGATCTTCTTGACAGGCTGGGCAACTCCAGAGGCGAAGCCGCAGCGCGTCGGGCTGTCGGCCGCGCAGTGCGCGCGTGGCATCGTCCAACTGATGCCCTAGCGAGAGCGCGCTAGTCTTTGTCCAAACTGCGTCGGCGGAAATACTCCCGACCAAACATTTTTCCCTGGCCGAAAAAACCCTTGAAGTAGAGGCCGACTCCGCGATGTCCACGAGCTCCGCGAGCGAGGTCACGGCCCAGCCGACGCGGGACAGCGAGAGCCTAAGGGCCATCACTAGCCCAGACACTCTGCGCCAAGATCTTGCGATTCCGAGCGAACACCTGCCCCAAAGACCTCCTGGGCTCGCCCCGAGAAGGCGCGTAATTATTCGAACGCCCCAGTGCGAAGAAGGCAGACTTCCTGAGCGCGCCGAGCCACGGGCCCCGCGGCCCCGAACCAGGCAGGGTCGTCTTCCCAAACCACAAGCCCGGAAAGGGACCTCACACAGGCCCCACGGGCGATGGCGGAGGCCGCCCCCCTTCTGGCCCTAAGAGACTCGCGGTCAGACACCCCGAAGACCGTCGCGCCGCGCAGAACCCCCTGGGATCGGATCGCTGCTGCAGATTTTAATGGCGCGAGCTCCGAGGTTATAGGGCGACGAGATCTATGCATATCCACTGCTCCTGGCCAGGCCAATCCTGAGCCCAGGAGCGGTGTATACGCCCTCCTGGCCTGGCCAGGGAGGCATATACACATCTCCTGGGCCCAGGATGGGCCTGGCCAGGAGCAGTGGATATGTATAGATCTCGTCGCCCTAGGTTAGGGCGCTGCTTCTTCGGGCGCCTGGTCTCCTCCGCGAAGGCGGCGGGGCGCAGTTTGAACTTGCTGGATCTCCGGCCCCTACGCCCGGCCAGCCCAGCTGCGGCGTCTGCCCCCAGGTTCGTCGTGACCGCGAGGCGCGGGCCAGCCAGGTCCCAGAGATGATGCTGGAGGGCCTTAGTTACAGCTGGGTTGGAAGATATCATCGCAATATGATCCTCCTCGACGCGAGCTTCCATGTGAACAGCGATGACATGGCGCAGCACGCCGGCGGCAGCGCGAAGCTCGCGGATGACGAGCGAGGGGGGCCCACGGAGGACAGGGTGTCGTCGATGTAGCCATCGAGCTTGGCAAATATCGAGAGCGGAACCTTATCGTCAGCATCGATCGAAAAAGATGCGAACATGCGTGGCAACAAAGCTGCGCCCAGCCACTATACCCTGGGAGGCGCACCAAGGACCGTCGACATACCCAGCCAAGGGCACGAATCGAGCGATGCGATAAGCGGCCAATGAGAGGTAGATGATAGCCGGCGGGAGACCGAGCCTCAAAGCGCTGTTCTCGCGACGTTGCAGATTGAATAGCTCATCGCACTTATGCGTGTCCCTCAAAAGGCCGGCGAGGACGTCGCTTTCGGCGACGTCCGCCTCTGCGCGGAAGGTCTGGCGCCATGCGACGTCTAGGGCTCCGCGATGATGGCCCGCCGCGAAAGACCCCCTCTCGTGAGTCAACCCCCATTCGAGGCCAATCGGCCGAAGAACTTTCCCCCGCGGACGGCGCAGACTACCAAAGACTCCGACGGGTCGCCGTCCTCCTTGCGCCTGGGGGGAAGAGCAATCAGAACAGCGTGGAGCTGCTGCGGGAGGCTGCCGAGGCCCTCCATCAAATAGACGAGGATGAAGACCACGCGGAGGCTATCGTCACAGAGCAACGCGTAGTGGCGCATGTGGAAGCCATCGATGGCCACCGCACTGGAGGACGCATAACGCCTCGACACGTCCCTGAGCGCGTCAGGGACCAAGAGGGGCAGTGGCACGATTGGGGGAAGGCCAGGGCCGACGGTGTCCCCGCAAACCCGGGGCTGTGAGGCCTCCAACCCTGGTTTGCAGCGGCCCCTTGGCCTGGCCGCCGCGAACCCCGAGCTCCCCAATTCCCTCGGGGGGGGGGGGGGGGGGGGGGGGGGCGCTGCGGGCCTGCCAGTGGCCCGCGAGCTTGTGGCTTCCATGCTGGAGCATAGCCAGCGGGTCCGAAACCGCGCGACCTTCGGCCGAGAGGGTGCTCGACGGTTTCCAGGCCACGGGGCCTTTCAAAACCGAGCGCGCCCTCTTCCCCCCTGTTCTAGCCGCGCTGTCAGCCAGGACATCCAGTCCTGCTGCGAGATGCCCTTGAACTCGTTGTTGCAATATCCCACTCCCTGCGCCACCACAGCCTTGAGATCGTCGAACTTAGGCCCCAGGTCACCAGAGAGGGGAATGGGCCTGTCCCAAGAAGAAAAGAATTCCCCAACCAGAGAAAACAGCGGGGGGGAGTTCCCAGAACGTTTGGCGACGCAGGCCGGCGGCGCAAGCAGGGCTTCAACGATGGAGGAGCCCGATCGGTCGAGCACCGCGCAAGAGGCCGCGATGCATCTGTCAAGGGGGGGGCCAACGCGGGCGCCCAAGCGGCGGGCGCAAAAGATCTCGGGACACCTTGGCCGTTTGTCCTCGCGCGAAATATTTGCCCAGAAAACCTGGGGCGATTTTCCCCTGGATCCGTGGCAAGCCAGAGTCAACCCCAAAATCGCACAGAGCTCTCTCTCTCAGAGGTGTTCGCCCAGACCATGTATAATTCGTCGAGGCGGCGCCTGGCGTCCGTCGCCCTGCCAGCATCGGCGCTGACCTGGGCCAAAAGACCCAGGCGAAGCCCTGGAGACCAGTCCGGAGGCCGAGGTTGGGGCCCGAACGGAGCCGACGCGGGGAGAGGCGGCGGCTTCCCGAAGGCCAAGGCGCGCAGCAACGCGAGCCTAGGGCGGAAGATGATGTCCGCAGGGCAGTGCTGGAAAAATCCGCCCCCGAAGCGACGTCGACGCTTTTCGCAGCTTTAGCCGGCCCAGGCGAGACCACGAAGAGATCGAACCTTGTGGGCGGGGACGCCAAGAACGTGGGCCCCTGCGGCGCCAAAATTTGCCCCTGGAGCTTCGTCCCGAAGTCGATCGCCTCCGGATCTTCTGGGGGGAGGTTGAAGCCCCCCCCGGCCATTGCCCCCCCCTCCGCCAGAGAGGCCCCGCTGCCCATGAGCGAGAGGAGGTGGAGGGTCGCCTCCAAGAGGCCGACGGAGCTGATGAGATAGCACGACGGCCGCGTGGCAGGGCAGCCGCCCGGAGGGTGAACGACGCCCGACACCACGCGATGTGGAGCGACCAGTGCGCCTTCAGGACGTTCATGGAGTCCAAGGAAGTCCCGTGCCAAGATTGCCGCGCCCCACGAGACACCGCCCCTTCGACCAGGAGCGGCGGGGGCCCAGAAACTTCCCCATCCCCTCGAAGAGCACCGCTGCGAGGCCCTGTCCAGAGCCTCGCCCGCCAACAGCTTATGTTCCTGGAGCAAAAGAACATGGGCCCTCGACGTTTCGATCCACTCGCGCATGGAACGCCAGGAGTTCCCATCGAGCGTTTGGACGTGCAACGAAAACTGCTCGTGGGGGGGGCGGGGGGCCCGGCCCCCTTCCCCCCTGCCGCTGCCGCGGCAGAGGGGGGGGGGGGACATTTTGAAGCAACTCAGACGCTCGCTGCCTGACATCGCTCTGCCCCTCCACTGCTGGCTGTGCGGCTTCGCCTGGGGCGCCTTCGGCCTCGGCCGCTGCCGGCTGCGCGCCTGCGGCCGCAACTGCGGAGCCGCTCCCTGCAGCGCCCTCGCCTCCGCCTGCTGCTGCTGCAGGAGAGCCACCGCCGCCATCTTCCACGCGCTGCCGCTTGCTGGCACAGCGAAGCATGTGCTGCTGGTGGAGTTCCTTCGCCTTGCGCGCGGCTTCCACCAGGGGGCCCAGGAGGTCCTTGGCGAGCTGCTGAACCTCGGACCCCAGCTGGGCGCGTCGGGCCTCGATCTCCTGCTTGTCAGCGTCGGACATCTCGCTCTCCAGGCTTGCGTCGGCCAACAGGGGGCCCAGCTCGATGCACTGCCCGAGGTCGAACCCCTGAACGACCTTGTCGATGAGTTTGAGCGCGGTCGGTGCGGGGGCAGCCTTCGCAACCCCGCGACTGCTGCTGAAGTTCCTTCAAGTTGCTCTTGTACTTGGGATCAGCCTCCTGCAAAACGGACCGAAGATAATCGATGTATGTAAGCTGATTCTGCAAATCAGACTTGGGCTTCTCGTGCTTGTCAAGTTCTTCTGCGAGCTTCGCCTTTGCCTTCTCGACAGCTGCGTGGCTCTGCTGGGTACGTTGATGTACTGGTACTTCCACTGGGTGTTGCTGCTGATGAAGCACAGCAGTCAGCTTTGTGTATTTCTCTGCGCTGGCCAAATTTCCTGCCTTGCGGGAAAGCTCGCTCTGCCAATTGCTTGGCCTCCTGCACGGGTCGTTTCGGAATGGCCCCCACGGGCAAAGGGCGTCCCTTGCCGCCGTCGCCTCCGCCGCCGCCCTTGGAACCGCCCTTGCCGCCACCATCCGCTTTGCCGCATCCTGCTCCCGCACCGCCAGCGCTGCCAGCGTCAGGAGGAAGAGAGCGAAACTGAGCATCGAAGACCCCAGGAGGCGGAGCGGTCAAAGGGCCGTGAAAGGCTGGCGGCTCGGCGGCGGCGACTTTCTGCAGCTGGCCGCCACAGTGTTTGCAGAAGCGCGCCTTGGCCTCGTTCTTGTTGCAGCCGCAGGTGACGCACTTGATCGTGGGGCCCCCTGTTGCTGAGTGCTTATCCTCCTTTTTGGGGCGTGCTGGAGTCCAATGTCAGCTGCCATCGGATTCATAGTTTGCAGTCCAGTCCCGTTGCCAAGGCGCGCCGCAATAGCGAGGGTGGGACATGCGAGAGGAAACTGCTGCAATCGATCCGAGCCAATGGCCTGTGGACGCAAAGTGCCGTTCTGAAGTATACGTCAACAACCACAGGACGCCAGAAACGCCTGTGCCAGAACGGCCGGGGGGGAGGAGGAGGAGGAGGAGGAGGAGGAGGAGGAGGAGGAGGAGGAGGAGGAGGAGGAGGAGGAGGAGGAGCATGGCGAACCACTGTTTGATTCTCCCTTCTCCGAACGGGGGGCATAAAGGCGACACGGGCGGGCAGGAGGGCGCAGCAGGCGGGCGCCCGAGGGGCGTGCGCCCGAGCGGCGGAGCGCTCGCGGCCCGCCCCGAGAGGGCTGGGAACGCGCGGCCAGCCGAGATGCCTCGAGACAGTGCAGGGCGTCGGGGTCCATGACCTCGGCTGGCGCTCCTCTAGGGAGACGAACAATGACGTAAACATAAAAAAACTCGGAGGTCCGCGCGGGTGTCTCGCATCGGCGCTGCGCGGCACGGGCGGCGCCAATCCGAGAAATCCGCGGGGACCTCCGAATTGTCATGTTTTATGTCATTGTTCGTCCCCCTATCCTCCACCTGCGTCAGGGCTCGGGCTAACCAGTGTGCTTCGTTTTCGCTCTGCTGCGAGACGAGATCCGAACGAGAACGGCCCACGAGATCGCCCAAACATCGTTTAGCTCGAGCCCTGGCCTGCATCCTCCTCTTCCTCCTCCTGCTCCTCCTCCTCCTCCTCCTCCTCCTCCTCATCATCATTATCATCATTATCATCATCAGCAGCATCAGCATCAGCATCAGCAGCATCAGCAGCATCAGCAGCATCACCATCAACATCAGCATCAACATAATCATCATCATCATCATCATCATCATCATCATCATCATCATCATCATCATCATCATCACCATCACCATCACCATCACCATCACCATCACCATCACCATCACCATCACCATCATCATCATCATCATCATCATCATCATCATCATCATCATCATCATCATCCATCACCTTCTCCCTCTTCCAAGTAGCCGAGGTTGGAATCTAAGGGGGTGTGGGGCCTGCCGGGGCCGAATGCACGGTGGCGAGAGTGGAGCTGTGTACCCTGCGCGCTAATGTGACGGGAGCCCCGATGCATACAACTGTCGCCACGGAAACAATTGGACCTAGGACATAATATCATCCCTCAAGAACACGCGGCCCTCCGCCGGCCAAAACACACAGAACATCCAACGGTACCCTCCCCGGGATGCACAAGAACATCCAACAAGAACGAAAAACATTGGGGCAACCTTCCCGAAACGACCTCGATATTGTACCTCGATCCAGCTGTAATGCAACAGGTGTGCTGTGCTCAGGCTTGTATGCTGGGCGGCGATCAGAATCGTCAGGACCGAATACGGACTTGCGGTGGTTGATCAGCCGTGTGCTGGGAAGGAGAACTTCTAGCCTGCACGTCGCTATTTTGCCTGCGCGCTCACTTGAGTAAACTGTAGAGACTGTAGCGGCCAGAGCCCCAGCGAGGCTCGTGTTGGGACACGCTGCTGCTGACACGTTAGCTGGGGCTGGAGCGACGATCAAAAACGTGTTTGTCGCGAGATGACGCAGCGACCTTACAGGGTGGCTTACGCGGGCCACCAGCTCGGAAAATAACAATGGAGACGAGGATGCTCACGCGAGACCTTACGCGAACAGCTTACGCGCGACTGTCGGCGAAATCGAATCGGTTTTTTGCGTCGCTCACGTGTGAACAGGATGCCCAGGATCGAGCCCGTGCTTTCCAGGTTGAGCGTATGGGCTACTGAATGCGGATGAAAATTCTGCTGAGCACCTTGGAGACTCTTCAGGCTGAGCACGAGTGTGAAAAGGCCAGGGTCCCGACTGAAACACCCTGGCCACTGGCCCCCGCGCTCCCATGATATGTAGCGTCTTTCAACTCGCAGCATGTGCTGAATGAGGACTGTCACCCTTGAAGGAGATGTGAGGGTTCGGCATCCATCACCCAAAGAAGCGGATGTCTGAAGTATCCGCGCTTCGCTTTAAGTTGTGTGGACGGCGTCCTGTGGAACGAACCCTCTCTTGGGCAGCAGGTGCACATCTTCGGGGGGTGGGCCGATATGACCGTTCACTTACATTCGCCACCGGGCCCTCGAGCACAAGTTGGAGTGTCCTCAGGTCCCTTGCTCGATCCCCTGAACCCCAAACGCTCAAATCTCCTGGGGCTTGGCACGGTCCCGCGTGGCTCCCCCGAGTGGTGGAGCATGACTTTTTGCAACCAAAGTGGGGGGCAATACGGACCAAGACACCTCCAAGAGCTGACACCTCCAAGAGCTGGGCCACTCGGTCCAAGAAGCCCCCGAATCACCACGCGGTCGGTCCAAAAAGTCCAAGATGGCCTCCGGTCGGCCGAAAACGCGCCTGGTGCCTCCAAGACCATCTTCAAGAGGTCCCCGAAAGGACTCTTCGGCCTTCACGGCCTCTAGACACTACGCCGGGCTGAAGATTTGGTTCTGCGACTTCAATGGGTACTACGCCGCTCAATAAACGGCTAAGGTTGTCCCACGAATGTCGCCACGTCAAACCATCTGGATTACCTGCTTCGTACTTATCAAGGTTTATGGCCCAATGTTTACGACAAAAACGAACTCCGTAAGCGAACATCGGCAGGAAATCCCGTTTAAGCTGTTCCAGGGTCTCTGGATATCCCACACGGTGGCATTATGCGCAACTCCGTAACTCCCACCAACCAGCCTCATCATCCTCATCACCCTATACCTCTTCCCCAACGATGATGCCGTTGCACGGGCTCGGATCATGTGGTGATCGCAGCGTCTGGCCTTCCTCCATCTCTTCCTTCACATCCTCATCCTTTCGCTTCCCACCTCCCTCTCCCCACCCAGTCACTACCCTCCTCATGCTCACCATTGTCCCTCTCTCATCCTCGCAGTCTCTCCTTCCTGCTCCTGCTCCTGCTCGCTCCTGCTCTTCCTCCTCCTCCTCCTCCTCCTCCTCCTCCGTCTGCTCCTGGTCCTGCTCCTGCTCCTGCTCCTCCTGCTCCTCCTCCTCCTCATCCTCCTCCTCCTCCTCCTCCCGCTGTTTCCCCGTTGTTTCGCGCGCCATTGGCGTCAAGCCCCGTGGCGCCCCGCGACGGCCGACGGCCGCCGGCCGCCGCTCTCTCCAGCCGCTGGCCGCTGGACGCCCCCTGTCTCTGCCGTTCCAGCAGCTGGCCGCTGGGCACCCTGGCTTTCCAGCTGCTGGCCGCTGGGCACCCCTCTGTCTTCTGCATGGGGGCGCCGTCTTCTTCGGGCGCCCCTGCCTCCGGCTGGGGGCGGCGCTGCCCTGCTGTGGCGCAGGCGGCTGGCAGCAGCCCTTCGGCGCATGCACGCTGCTGCCGCCAGCCGGGGGGCGTGGCCGCCCCCGCGGGGCCCGCAGTGGCTCGTGCGGACGTGGCGTCCAGTCCGCCTTCCTCGCACGCCTGGGCAGGCCTTGCGCGCGTCGGCCTGGGCCTCTCCTCGTCCTTCGGCTCTTCTGCGTGGTCTCCCGCGCGCTATCTTTGAGCAGCCAGACGGCTGTGGTCTCCACCTTCCCGTCTGGTCTTCTGGCTGTGATGGGTGCTCGTGCGGGTGTGGCGTCTCGCCACCTTTCTCGCACGCGGTGTTTCAGGTTCTTCGCTGTCCTTCGCTGCTGTCGTCGTATGGCGAGCTGGTCGATGTAGGGACGCCACGGTATGGGGTCACGTCCTGGTGGTGTGAGGTTGTTTGTTTGTCGTGGCCGTCCATCTTCGCTGGTGTAGGCGCAGGATGCTGGTGGTGAGCGTATGGAATCGTTAGTGGGTTTCGTGATGGTATGCTGTGGGTCAGTCTGTTGTGCCGTGGTAAGTATACACGTGCAGGGACACATTCGGGGCTGCCTGATGTACCTTGGTTGCCAGCTCCGTTTATATCACTGTGGTGGATGGTCGGATGCTGGTTGTTGGGGTGGTGGTGTTTGTGGCTGGTGTGAGGGCTGGTCGATTTCCGTAGTGCGTGATGGTCGGTCGCTCGTATGTGCTGGAAGGTCGATTGGGTGGCTGCTGTGTTCGCTGGTCGGTCGGTTGGATGGTTGCTGGTGGATGGTTTGTGGGGCGTCGAAGAAAAGGGCGTGCTGCGAATTCAAGGTTTTCCGTTCCAGCTCTCACGGCCTGACTGAACAATGGCTCGCGTGGGTAGGTGCAAGGAGCATGCCGTCAAGATCGCAATGGAAGCGGTCAGACAAAGGGTGACAGGGGTGAGGGTCGGTGGCTGCTGGTTGGTCGTGTCGGTGGTGGCTGTGGCGCATGCCACACGCCAGCCTTGGCCGTTCTAGTGCCTGGCGCAGGTCGATAGTCTTGATGGGTCGTCAAGGGTGGGTGCGATGGTGGTCGCTGCACATCTCGCGTGACAAATATGGGTCGAGGGGCTGATCGAAGTGGAGGCAGTCGGGGTCGATGTGCACCTCCTCCTCTTCCTCCTCCTCTTCCTCCTCCTCATCATCATCACCATCATCATAACAATTATCATTGTAATTCTCATCATCACCACCATCCTCCTCCTCCTCCTCCTCCTCCTCCTCCTCCTCCTCCTCCTCCTCCTCCTCCTCCTCATCATCCTCATCCTCATCCTCATCCCATTCCTCATCCTCATCTCATCATCATCACTCATCCTCATCCTCATCCTCATCCTCATCATCATCATCATCATCATCATCATCATCATCATCATCATCATCATCATCATCATCATCTTCATCATCCTTTTGCGTTGACCAAACGTGGCGCTCGAAGCACGTCGCGTTCAGTTCCTCCTCCTGTTCCTCCTCCTCCTCCTCCTCCTCCTGCCCCTGCTCCTGCTCGTGTTCCTGCTCCTGTTCCTGTTCCTGCTCCTGTTCCTGCTCCTCCTCCTCCTCCTCCTCCTCCTCCTCCTCCTCCTCCTCCTCCTCTTCCTCCTCCTCCTCTTCCTCAGCCTACTCCACGTCATCCTCATCCAACCAACGGTGAAGGAACACCAGGGCGCTGGGCGAGCGGGGCGCAGGACCGGCCAGAAGCGGAAGACGGAAGGCCAGCAAAAGGGGCCAGGCGGCGGAGCGGAGGGCCAGCCGGAGGGGCGGCGGGCCAACAGGCGGGGCGGATGGCAAGCGGGCCCCCCTCTGTGGGCGATCAGTGGGCGATCGGCCTGGATAGACTCCTCCTCCTCCTCCTCCTCCTCTCCTCCTCCTCCTCCTCCCTCCTCCTCCTCCTCCATCATCCTCCTCCTCCCCTCCTCCTCCTCCTCCTCCTCCCCCTCCCCCTCCCCTACCCCTCCCCCTCCCCTCCCTCCCCCTCCCCCTCCCCTCCCCCTCCCTCCCCCTCCCCCTCCCCCTCCCCTCCCCCTCCCCTCCCCTCCCCCT